TGTATGGATGGTTTTATCGTACCTTGAGCAAAATCAAAGTTATGATATACCTTGGGTAAAAAAACGATATCTAGACCCTAAATTAACTAGAGTTTGGACATGGGCCTCGGAATCATGTTATGGAATGGCGAGCTTACGTTTCCTTGTAACCAATGCGATAGTAGATTTCGGAGTTTGGGTGCCCTGGAAAGCCATCACGAGTCTACTCACAAGCGCAAATGTCCCATTCGGTGCATCGAATGCGGGCAGAGTTTCAAGGATAAGCGCCAGTTCAAAGGTCACTACAGCGACAAACATGGAGGCTGTCATCCCTATATATGTTTCTTATGTCTTGAATTTCTTTGACTCTGTGTTTCTTTCCTTTATTGTGTTCGTTTATTTTACTGACAGAAGAAGGATAAGAACTAGAGAAAGCAGCAGAAGGAGAAGAACCAGATGAAGCAGAAGAATCAGAGAACACAAAAGAAGCGAGTAACTGTGTAAGTTTCGTTGGTAAATTAGATGAAAGAACGTGACGAACCAAATAGTTATATGCTTCACCAAGTAAGTGTTGATCTATATGCAAATACTCATTGCGGACTCTTTCCAGGCGGTACCCCAAAACTTTCAAAAAAGCTGTAATGGGTGGTAGCTGCATTTGGTCCCCGGTAATAGGGTTCAACAAGAGTAGATATGGTGTCTCCTGCAACATGAACAACCACCCAAAGGTTGCTCCCTGACAGGTTTTGTTCAGGCATGAGGCAGTTCTATATGATGAAATCTCTGCTCCGTAACATCGTAAAAGCACCTTCAGTTATCAGTACCTTTACAGCCAACCATGGCAGAACTACTACTGATTTTGCAGCTGCAGCAATAAGGCAGCAACAGCCACAACATCGATTTCCTGAACATTGTCGGTTGCTCTACTTGTAGGACGTGTCTCCACTTGTTAGAAACCCAATTCTCGTGGGTTTCCCTTATTATTTCTAGTAGGATAATTATTATTATGGTTAGTAGAGATTTAGTCCAATTAGGTTATTCGTTAGGGTTTTTGGTATTTCCCTATAAATATGTAAGTTGGCTTTCATTATCGATCAATCAAGTAGAATATTAAGCAAAGTCTCCTAAACTCTAATCTCTCCTCACAACTCCTAATTTCTCGTCTCATCCTAGTCCAAGGCCTCGGCCGATTCCCAATTCTATTATGTTCTTCTCATCTAAATCCCTAATCTCAACCCTAAATCCCAAGCTCATGGGTGCCGAAGATCAGTATTGAGAATCCCTAGAAGCGCGGTTCTCACACCACTGCTTACAAACTAATTGAAATCAGATGTAGATTTAGGGGTGGCAAATGGATTGGATTCATGAATTGGTGGATTCATAGATTGGATCAAATGGATTGGTGGATTGATCCATGAATCCAAATGACACATTATGTAAATTTTGAAAACTATAGGTACCAAACTGTCATTATAAAAAATTTTAGATACCAAAACGTAATGTTCCAATGATGTTTCGTATAAAAAAATAAAATTTAGGTACCAAATTGAAAAATATAAAAAGTATATGTACTAAAATATAATCTGCCAACAATCCATGAATTGATTTAGATCAAATGGATTTGATGTAAATGAATTGGATTTGAATATTTAAGTGAATGTATTGGATTGAATTGGTGGATTGATTACATATTTATGTAATCCTTCAATTTAAGACCCTTCGATTTGGTTAACCGTTGATCTACCATGCACAAAAGATCGCTCGGTAAGTTCGACCAACGTTGTTTTAAAAAAAAAAAAAGTACGACCAACGTGAGTCAGCGATGTCGTTACTCATAATGGATACATAGTAGTGTGTAATGAGGATGGTGGTCCGGTCAGATATGGAAATCCGGCCATCGCATGATTGGATTCCCCAATCTGAAACAAAATAGTACATAAGGAGGCGCCCGTCGGGAACGAAAACGGTTTTGAAACCCAGCTCAGTCGCCGCTAGCGGTTTCCCACTTCTTCACATGACGAATCTGGGAACCTGTGTGATGATGTGAAACCAAATCCATGTAGCCTGTAGGCCCGAAATCGTAAACCCAAGGATTTGGTTGATATTCTTTGTCATATTGCAACTAAGCCGATCCCTTGAGATTTAAAATTATATAACATTATCTATTCATAAGTAGTAAGCCATGTGGATATTCAGAAATTGTAGCCAATGTAATAATTCAGACTATATATAATGGGGGAGGGTTAAAGCCTTACCGTCTACTCCTATTTCTAAATTTGTGTAAAATTCATATGTAGTTTACCTATATTTCAAAATTGAGAGAAGCTACGACCTCTACTAGCTTCAAACCTAGTGCATAGCTGAAAATCAAAATAAACAATTTGTTTTATTTGAGGACAAAAAGAGAGGGTATTCACATAAAACAAAAAGAGATGGTATTGTTTAATCATTAATTAATTAAGTATGGGAAAAACTAGAAAAATTAAAGAGTTCATGCTCTTACTCCATACTTAATCAAAAGAAATTATTTCAATGAAAATCATAGGAATGTATTTACTGAAAAATAATAACCCCTTGTTCACCAGAAGAAGAAAAAACCCATTTCAAATTGGTGAGCTGTTACTATTAGTCAGTTACCACTCAGCAATCAATTAAATCCATCTCTGCCTAATGCACATTATCATTACCCAATCATGGAGCCTTTTCAAATATCAGGACGTCACTCTTGTCTCCGCAGTGCTACTTTCTCCCCCCTCTTCTCTTTGTTCCACTCACCATTTTTACTTTCAGAGCGAGCGAGCGAGGTAGAGGGAAAGGGAGGGGATCAAAGTTTACTGCAATATCGTACTTTTCTCCCCCGTCCACCGTCGCCCCATGGCCCCACTGCCATCTTTCTTTCTTTATTTGCCTTTTATTCGTTTTTTATTTTGTTGTTTGTTTTCCCGAAGAGAAAATTTAGATGGAAGAGAATTGATTTGCACCTTTGAATTTTAATCAAACGATAGTGGGTTCGAGTCCCACGAGGTGTGTCAATATGTTTTCCCAGAAGAGAATTGATTTGAACCTTTTTCCAAACAAACTTTTGAACAACACGGTTCACACTTCTTTGAACAAAGTTCAAACAAGGGTGTTCAATGTTTTTTATGATCTACGAGGAAAAGCTAAATTAAATTAACACTACTTCTATGGAGGTTCGGGAGAGCTCCAAAACTACAACTATGGCTAAATTTGCAGAGGAAAAGATAAAAAGATAAATTTGACATTGTGTTGACTGGTGTGATTTTGGCGAACTCATTCTCTGTCATCTTCACCTCTTATTTATAGCCACAAGAAGTAACTGCATCGAGAAATGCTCTGCTGACGTGGAGTGATGGTTACCCTTTCAAGTTCTATGACAGTTACCCTTTCAACTGCTATGATGGTTACCCTAACATTGGATGTGTCACCCTCTTCAGTCTTGAAGACAAACCATGTGCCACATTTGGGTGGGTACTCGAATCACATTATTCAAAAATGACAAAAAATACTTCACCATTAAGAGTGCAGGGAGAATCACGTGCACACATGACCCTCCTGATCACACCATGGGGGTGGCAATATGGTGGTCACTCCCCTCGGCACGTCATGGGGATGGCATGTTGCCCACCCCTCTCGGCACATCATGGGGGGTGGTTGTATGTTGCCCACCCCCCTTGGCACATCATGAGGGTGACTCCAACAATTAGTCAAATTTTGTGATGGATGGGTTAGAGTGGCGCACATGATGTCTTGGGTTCCATGAGCCCAAAAATCCAAACTACGTGGCCCACTTAGTTGATTTAAACTATTATAATTAAGTTGGCCTTACGAAGCTATTTAATTCCTTGTTTTCAACCGAATGATTTTTTATGGATAAACAATGTTATACTTTTGTTTGCATTTGCATCGCATTCGCACACCACTTGGTGTTTACATAGGCTTACTTTGATTCTTCTTTTGGTTTTCCCGATTCCCATACTTCCGTTCCTTCCGGGGACGAATCCGGAATCGCATTCCGCAGGCGATGTTGCGGTGTGGATAAGCAGTAACTTCGCTTCGAAATTTTGATCCCTTGGTTCGAGGGAGGGGGCTGGATAGATAGAGATAAAGGGATATAGAGACAAAATTTAGGAGAATCTTAGAAGGGGAAGTTAGATTTTGATTGCGGCTACTCCGAATTTGTAGCTTGCTATTTGTCTATGATTGATCAGTGAATTGAATTCCAGCGTTTTAGCCTCATAACGGGGAGTATTATTTTCCCTCTGCGGGAAAGAGAAGAAGAAGGTTCCGTTAGTCGACATGGTTAGCACCAATTTGTTTCACTATAGAAAACATTCATGGCCACCGGAGGAGTACATCAACAGAGCGACCTTCCAATTGGTGAACGATTCGACTTCTCTCCTCTCTCTATGTTTCGTGTTATGTTGATTCATCGGTCGCCGCCGAAAAGACGCCATAGGGAGCAGATAGCTAGTTTCTTAAGATTGGACATGGGAGACGTATTCTGAATCGTAACTGCAAATTTGCTAGCTACTGCCTTTCCGCGCCATCTGCTGCCAATTGCCATAGGCGGTTGCAGCTGTTCCAACTACTTGGAACCGCTGAAGTTGCGCGGCCACTGAACTTGTGTAGTGTAGATGCTTATTACAGCTTAAACTGACAGCCCTTTTTGTCCATTGTATTGTTGTTTGATTTTGATAGTGTTGTGCCTCTAGAATATGCCTGGAGACGTAGTTTGAACATTCATGCCAATTTACTCAAAGAATTTAGCTTTACCTTTAGGGAAGCAATTAAGATGGTGAGCATTGCTATTGTGTTAAGGAAAAATGGTTTCGATTCTTCACTCGGTTTCTTTCTTACAATCTAATGAAATGCTGGGTTGATGTGCTAGGTATGACTTGGTATACGCCTATGTTCATATGTTAGAGAGGAGTAGGGGTGGGAAACGGGAGGTCGTACCCAGTCCCATTTGAATGGGAAACTTCATCCCATGTCCCAAACCTGTACGGGTTAACGAGTACTCATTACCCGTACGAAACTGATAACGGGTACCCACGAGTAATCCATAGATGAAAATGATTGCTATTGGAGAGCTGTGGGCTAAGATCGGTAGGGATGAATTCGACTTCTTGGAGCTGAATAAGCCCAAGAACCGTACTGAGTCGCGCCCCAACTCGGCTGCGGTGAGTGAGTCTGAGTTTCTGAATCGTGGTCGGGTCGTGGAGGTTCCTTGCGGGCTCACGATTGGTTCCCACATCACGGTGGTTGGGAAGCGGAGGGCAGCTCATGCAGAGGCTGAGTCCAATATATCTTTGATTAAAGATGGCGGGTCGTCGGTTATGGTGTCCCAGTTTATGATCGAGTTGCAGGGTTTGAAGTGACAAGGATACTTCTTAAGTACTTTAATAAATTTTATTATTTTTCTACTCTCTGGCTCAAATCATGTATTAGTGGTTAATCAATTCCTCACTTGTAGCTACGTGAGTTTCCATTCGGTTATGGAGTGGGCATATGAATACCACACTCCTATCTAATACAAACTAGCACCGGGCCCGGCGCTTGGCCCGAGAATTTGATTATTATATATTTTGATGTGTTTTTATCATTTATAATATGTAGTTTTTCGGTATAGATAAAATATATAGAAATGAATAACAAATATAAACAATTAATAGCAATATTTAGAAATTAAATGGTGTCTATTTATTTTGTATTTTATGTAGGGGAGAGTTTTATTCCGTTACACACACAAAATCAATATTAATCATAAAAGAAAATGATTGTCCATTCACGTAGTTTAATCTTTTGTGCATTTTCTCAATAGTTACCATCTTTATTCATCACGGTACGTAATAGATATGAAATTATATCATGAGAAAGAATATATAGGGCACATTAGATATTGATGAACAATTTGAAGTAGCATGTTGAAGATGTACCACGGTGACTTGAAAACCACCCTCGATACACCATTAACCTTACTTATTTTGCACAAACTAATATGCTATAGAATGTGACCATTTTGCATCCATGCATGAGAGTATCGTTGTAGAAGTTGTTAGAGAATCCAGAAAATGACCTAGTGCCAAAATTCAGAGTGAGTATTCTTAACGTGAGTCAAGGGCTCAAGGAATAAAGAAAAATCAAATGAGTATTTTGTGCATTGCGGAAGTTTTACTTAAAAGTTAGGCCTTTAGATGCATCTTTGTTAACTTCAGTATTAATATTTCAATGTGAAAGTAGAGTTAGACAAATCAGTGCGCAATGAAGAGCAAATTGATCTCAAATGCTTAACACATGGGAGCTCACTTTGAACTTGAAGACCAAATGTTAAAGTAACTTTGTGTATCTTGTTCCCGTTAAAATCCATAGCATATTCAGATGTGAAACAAAAGCATTTAATTATGCTCCCAAAAGAAACACAGGGAAAGACAATTAGATATAAAAAAGAGATAATACCACCATCTATAATCTTAAACACTTGATGGAGATGAGCGAGCTTGAAGATGAGAGTCAAATACATTGTCAAAAAGATGTTCATTGTGAGAAATTCCATATGAAGAAATCCAATAAGAGTTGTACATGAAAAAAGTCTTGTGTTTCCTAATTAATTAGATAGCCAAAATCAAGAGAAATAGACAAAAAAAATTATAACCTGCGAATTTGAAGGTTTGATACATGAAACAAAAAACTACTAATTTAGACTCTATGTTCATCGCTATGAATTAACTCCTATCCTCGTCCACATAACAATATCAACACAATTCTATCTATGACCATTTAACCAATATGTTACATATTAAAGAGCAAATAATAAAACTATAGCAAATAGATAAAGATGTTCGCAACCACCAAACAATAGATCCATCATTCATTAATCCTCAAGCAGACAAGCATATAATTAGATAGAGTTTATCTCCACCAATATATAAACATATAGCATGTGGTTTAGATTCAATCATTAAGCTAATTATTTATCAAGTTTCTTAATTTAATAGAAATCATTATATTAATCAAGAAGAAAAAATCTAAAAGAGAAATGTTGATATTCTAAATTAATAATTAGTTTAATAAGTATTTAAAAAAATAAAAATCTGAAACTTCAATCTCTCACTCTTTCTCTGCCACATTCAAACCGTGCTGGAACCTCCCATTTTGTACCTTTCTATTTTCTTACGCCGTCCGACACATTCGCTTCTTTCCAAAATGAATTTTTGGTTACCCTATTTCCACTTCTTTCATATACCGCCACTGTTGCTTCGTATATGCCTGTCATCTTATTCTTCCGCTGTAGTCGATGTAAAAGTTTGGAAGCTTCATTTATTAACTGTTGATATTCAGACTTTAGTTTAATTGCTTCAGTGACAGTTTGTTCATTGGCTGCTTTCCGTTCATATGAAATATATATGGTTAGCGATTTTGCTTATGTTGGCAACGTTTCAATTTATAAATTATTCACAATGCATCATTTCATTGTTAATAGTATGATCCAATATAACAGTTCTCTATAAATGTTGTTTGTTCATATTATTGATGTTCATGATATCATTAATAAATTATTTTGTAAATGAACATTTATGTTGATTATGATAATTGTTAACATCGCACAAAATGGAATAGGTACCAACTCGTATAATTAAAACTAATAGTAATATAATAATTTTTAAAAACTCTATTGTTGTAAAAAATTCATGTTCGTTTCAGAAATGGTTTTATGTTTGGGATTTTGTAGAGTTTTTTTATGCCTAGATTTTGTATCGTAATCCAAATCATGTTAAATTGTTATTTTAATACGGCCTAATAAAACCGTTAAATTAATCTAAAGGACAATTTTAGATTGAAGTAAATTGTAACCAACGATTAGTACCATATATATTATGGAAGCAAAATGATATTGAAATCTTCAAGCTTGGGGATTTTATTAGAATAATGATAACTTACATTTTCATAATGTGTAGCTTGGTTTGATAATTGGATTTATGGAAAACACACCATCTTTTTGTTGTTTGACAGGTGAAAATAGAGAAGATTGGGTGTGGAGACGAATTCTGAAACTTCGGCCAACTGTGTAGCCATTTATGAGGAACCAGGGTGATGAAGGCTTTTGGAATGGGAAATTGATGCCCAGCTACTCAGTGAGCACAGTCTGGGATATGATACGTCCTGTGAAGAGAAAACAACACTAGTATGCTCTTCTCTAGAGTAAATTCTATGTGCCGCGTTGAAGTATCATAGCATGGATTGTGGCCATGGATGCGATAGTAACCAAGGTAAAGTTCATGTGGTGGGTTAAATTAAATGAAGATATATGCATTTTATGACTTGCCAATAGTGAGACCTGAGATCATTTGTTTTTCGAATATTGTCACAGACATCGACTTCCGAAGCCCGTGCGACGTCTTGAGGTGCACTCATCCCTGAAGTCCAGCCTCTCTGCATACGCATGCCAACTAGTTTCGCCCTGCCTTGGGATCATTAGGGAGACGACAATAGCCTCCGATCAGTTGTGCCTTCTCTTGCAACGATCTCCTTCATAGCCACATCCTGACTCGGCCAGAATAATGCACAGGCAGACAATGCCTTATAGCTAATGTCCCCCCCCCCCTACCCCTCTTGTGATAAGACAACTAGATGGCAGCGTTCTTCAGACGATCAATACGGTCACGACATTACGGGTCGTGACATTTTCCCCCACTCATAATGCAGCACGTCCTCGTGCTGGTGAAGAATGCTTCTCTCCGCAACATGTATTTGCAACATTCGGACCGATTGTGGGCCTTCGCATATGATACCATCCTCTGGTGGACAGGCTCTGTTCGCAGTTCATGTGCTAGCCTGATGTGCCCTGCACACATACCCCTTCGCCCCTCGACATCAACCTTCACTCTTGCTTCTTATGTTCTAGTACCTCAGTCGACCTTCACCCTACGCTTCTCCCAAAGTTTGTACCTCAATCAACCTTCACCATACGCTCTCGCTAGCGTTAGTTCCTCGGTTGAACGTCATTCTCGGCCGTTGCATCTTCAACCTGTCGAGGTCCCCCACAATGGTGCAACACATGTGTATCTGCGTCCGGACCGCCTGATGCACACCCAGGATCGCCTCTCATTCTGGCATAGGGTCGTCCCATACTCAACCTACGTCGCACCGAGAGAGGAACCGGGCTCTGATACCACTTGTCACGGACATAGACTTCCGAAGCCCGTGCGGCATCTTGAGGTGCACTCATACCTCAAGACCAGCCTCTCTGCATACGCATGCCAACTGGTTTCGCCCTGCCTTGGGCTCATATTGTTAGCAGAGTTGGTACTTTTTTCAGTAGCAGCTCTTGGGATCTCCGACTCTTATACGCAGGTGTGGTTGCAAAGCGAAACGCGGCTTTGGAGAGACTTGTTGGACCTCTATGGTGCTCCTTGATTAGCTTTGTCTGGCAGGAAAGGTGTCGAAGGCTCTATGGAGAGGTCCCAAGAGCGATCGAGTTGGTGACAGAGTTATGGCTGCGAGATTTTCGCTTCTTTGTTTCCTCTTATCCAGGTTTAAAGGCTGGGAGAGTTTGCGTCCCTCCAACAGCATAACAATAAAATAAAAAATAACTTAGAAAGTGAAATAGAACCCAACGAATTTAAAGTCTAACGGAAACGCTAAAATTAGTGTGACTGATTTAAAGACCAACATAAATGTTTAAACGAAGCATTCCAATTAAAGTGTGATAAATGACATTTTTTCCTTCCAAAAATCACTCTGGCTGCTGGATATTTGAAATTGAGGGGTCGTTTGGATGGAGCATTTTCAAAACGAGACGATTTGGCTCAATTCACTCATTTTAGAAAACGAGGTAATTGTGTTGAGACATTTGTTGAGAATTGTCTTGTTTGGCTTATTATTTGACATGAGACAATTGGTTCAAGGCATTTGTTGACAATACACTTTTGCCCTTGTTATTTTACCCTTATTCATCTTCTCTCTTTTAATCTTTGTACCTAGAAGTACATAAATTCTTAGACCAACCAAAACCCACCGATTTAGCATAAAGTCAATGGCTTAGAGCCATAGATTGGAAATTCAACTATGCCAAACTATAATTAGAGAAGATTCACCAACTGCAACAAACCAAAATTCTAATTGGAGATCTGTATTCATAATCCATAGTCCATACATCAAACAATACATTAACCCATTTTATCAAATAAGATTTGTATGAAAATTAAAATACACTTTTGCATAATCCACAATCAGAAAAGAAAATGATTTGTGAAAGCTAAATATGGGTTTCAATTTCAAGGCCTTCACACTAAAACCTTTCACTAACCCACTTTATCAAACACCTTGCATGCGTGATCCACACATCAAGAACTTGTTGGGTAATTGTTTGGCGATGACTCACAAAAAAAAATCCATAAACAAAAAACCCTTGAGCTCTTCTTCTTCTTCTTCTTCTTCTTCTTCTTCTTCTTCTTCTTCTTCTTCTTCTCTCCTTCGTCATTGTCCCTGCCGCAAAGTTTACTTTCTCATAGCCAGATTAAGAAAGAAGCGACAGAGGAAGAAAAATCCAACCTCCAAGAATTCGATTTTTTAGAGAAAGGGAAATTTCTAATCTAAAACAGAAAGAGTGGACAAAAGATGAAGATTGAGAACTTGATTAATCACCTTGCCTTCTCCAAAGAGCTTCTCGTTCCTCCCGTTGTCCGCCGGCGACCATCCAAAGCTTGATTTTTCTTCCGTTTATCCGCCATCGAAGATCGGCAGATCATCCGCCATACAGAGGCAAGAAAGAGAAGAAAAGGAAGGGCATATAGTCTACCAGAGAAAGTAAAGATAAGAGAGAGAGAGCGAGTTTGTCTGTGCAGAGAGAGAGAGAGAGAGCAGGGGAAAGAAAAGGTCAGATGTGGAATAAAACGCGTCAATTGAGATTACTTGCCCCCACCCCAGGTATTTTCAATTGACCCATAATGAAACAATTGTAATTGACCCAATCCAAATTGTTTCGTTTTAATTTTATGCAGCCAAACGAACCAATTTGATACAATTGTCTCATTTTGAGTCAATTGTGTCAAATTGTCTCTTCAAAAAGACTCATCCAAACGACCCCTGAGAAATTTTAATCCATGAATCTCCTTCATATATTTTATTGATTGGAGGATAGTCTAGAACTAAAACAATCAAATATGAAAATTGAAGTATCAAGCACCATAGATACTTCCAGGAGACTTAGTGAGCCAGCTTATCGTTATTCAAAAGCTATATGTTTTTCATATTTTAACTTCGTGTATGTTTTGAAATAAAAAGTATATAATGTATTTGTTTAGTGTAATTGGTTGTGTTTCTTGTCTTTGTTTAAAGAGACCATGGTTCAAATCTTGGTGTTGATTTATTTTTATACAAAATAAATAACTAAGTGTGAAGACAAAAATACCCTTCCTACTTTCACTCTGGTTGCTCGAAATTTTAAATGGATAAAATTCAACCCATGAATATGCTTTATATATAGTATATACTACCTTATTCCACCCTTCACATGAAGATCGCGGGTGGTGTAGATCTGCCTAGGATTCTACATTTCAATCCGAGGTTGAAGGGCCGCTCAGAAGACAAACCAAGCCTCCTCTGCACGTATTGTTTGCATAACTTCTTCCCCTCAATGTTGTGGGCTGCACCAAGTTTCGATTTGTTCTCTGTGTGGAAGAGTAGTAATGAGAGGTGTTCAAATGCTTACCATGGTAATTAACAAACCAAAGAATCAAAAATTCTATTAACCATGGAATACAATATCATAACCAAACCATCTAAACTAATAGAACAACCAAATTAACCAAACTAATGTATAATCGGTTTGGTTAATTGGTTAACCAGATTAACCAATATAAAATCACATTATCATTAAGTGAGAAAAAAATTTCGGTTAATGCATCAAATTGCAATTTATATGATGAATGGAACAATAGAATGAACATATAGTTATAGTTAACCCTTAGAGAAATACATGCAACTAATACAATTATCTTACCGTGAATAGAAGTATTCACCTAACAAAAATATATGTCAATAGTATGGAGTTAATTAATTATTGTGATTGTGTGAATTGAATTAGTCTCTTAGCAATTATGATATGTTGAAAAAGCCTTTCCTTTCAAGTTTTCATCAATATTGTATAAGTTTTATCAAAATTGAGCGTTCATATATCATGGTATACACTCTACAAATACAAATATACATTATAGGAACAATATTAGCCTTTACTGGTAATGAGCCAAAAAGGAAGGAATGTTCGGCTCTTGGGTGGTTATGCCAAGTATTAAGTATGTGTATATAATATATATTATGTATATGAATAATTACTTAACTGGTTAATTTGGTTTGATTGGTTAGGAGTGTCTGAAACTAAACCAAACAAGCTAAAAATTTTAACCAAACCAAACCAATTATCCAAATTAGCCAGATACTACTGGTTAAAATGGTTACCACGGTAACCACACCGTTTGAACACCCCTAGTAGTAACGAGATCGAGCTCTTTGAGACTAGCATTACCCTCCTCTGCAATTCTGGCTAACATGGGGCTCGGCTATGGGCGGGTAGTACGGGTATCGTAATACCCATACGGGTATTAACGGGTAACCCGCAGGTACCCATTATAGAACTTGTTAATCCCAAATCCCATCCTGTAAAAAAATAATGGATATTTGGGTACCCGTAACCCTCAAAAAACGGGACGGGTATAAGTATACACAAATACATGTTTCTCATTGCTCACCGTAGAGAGGAGGCCTCCCACTAAAGGGAAAATATATGTCTAATTTTTGGTGCTGCCTTTTGTTTGCTTGATTCTTCTTTTCCCAAATTGAACAAAGAACGTACACATTTACTCATCTGGAACCCTTCACTGCCTCTATAGAAGCACCGACTGATCCATTCACTAAAGAAAGTTGCAAGCCGTCAGCATCGTAGGGTGTTCCTCTTGGAGGAATGGGGTATGTAGCAGAGTCAAATATGGCCATTTGTTCTCCTCTTCTATCATGTTGTTCTTATTGCCAGTTGGGTTTAATTTGGTTTCTTAATTTATGCCACAGAAGCGGAAGCATATCCAGAGGTTTTAGGGGAGAGTTCAAACAGTGGCAAATTGTACATGGTTCATGTGAGCCTTCACCTGCCATGGCCAATCAATTCTCTATAAGGATCTACACTCAATATATTATCTATTGTTGACTGCTTTTCTGGTTTTGGTGGATTTAAAATCAAATATGTGATAGTTGATCATGGTTACTTGCTTCTTAGTGCAAGTTTGCTGGGGTTTGTAGTGCTCATTCATGCATACAACATTTTGTCCAACGGATTTATATGGTCAATTTCCTCGGAACTGCTTCCATGTTAAATTATTTTATCATACTCAAGAAGACCTATGCAAGTTATAGGGGATCAACAGGTTTGGTTGTGTTATTAGACTGAATGCAGTTCAGATAATACATCGTATTTAGAAACAAAAACTTGGTGAAATGCATGCATTGTTAATATGCACACATTTAAAGAATCACGAGCTCATATGAACACATAGTTTTGGGCTCTTTAAAATTCATTAAACTTTGCTAGCTTGTACAATCTGCTGCTTTTCACAGTGGCTGAATGTAGCTCGCCAACAATGGTACACTCTGTGTAATTCTTCGATTTGGTTGTTGGAATGAATTCCAAGAAGCGAACACAATGCACATCCAAAAGAAAAATGTTGGTCTCTGAGTGCATTTTGAATGGTTGCATCAATAAATTTTGTTATATAATTTGATGGTGTGACCTAGATAAATTTTAATGCTATAAATCTTCTCACTAGGGCCTCTGATGCAATGGATAAAGTAATTAGCACCAAGAACTTCTGAGCTGATCATATGGATTTTTGGCTCTTCCTCTTCATAATCACTAGATTTGGTTCTCTGTTACTGTAGATTTTTGTTTCTCGGGACGGAGGAAATAAAAGTTATGCGTCAGTCTTGGCTCCAGGGCATCATGAGGTTGTAGGGTAAGAAGTAACACAAACATAACATTCTCGAGGTTGTGCCAGAAGTGTATAGAATAATGGAGTTCGGATCCTGAAATGCATAGATTCGGTATTTGTTTTGTAATAGCTAAAATTAGGCTAGCAAGTTGGTAACAAAATATCATGATGCTGATCAATATTTTTTTCAGGAAAGCTGACGATCATTGTATTTCCTCATGGGACTGGAACTTAAGTTGCCAGCATTCAACATGCCATGCACTGGTTCCAAGGGCTTCGACAATATACGATGGTTAGCTTGCTACTTCTCTAAATTCCGTCAACGGGAAAGTAGTGTTCCTTTTTTCAATTATTGCATTAATGTTTTTGTTATTTTAGGTGAACCGGATCCGTATTTGAAAATCTCATGCATGCAAATTTCACCATTTATACCACATTTACAGAGAGAGTAGTCTTCCTGCTGCAGTATTTGTATACAAGGTATGAATATTCAGCATCTAGGATGTATTTAAATGAAAGAATTCATTTTTTAGGACCTTTTAGAAATAGAATACGAAAGGTCTTAGTACCGTGTTCACATTACTGTTCTGGTCATAGATTCTCCAAGTGGTCCCTAGCTTAGATATTTTTCATTGAGGCACCTGTTTGGTTACTTACGTGTGATAGCTGATGCTTTTTCATTCTTCATAGTTGGTCAACACTGGCAAAAAAAGAGCAAAAGTTAGTCTTCTCTTCACATGGGCGGTAAGGTTGTTTTCACCCTTTAGATTATTGTACTTTTTGCAAGTTCTTCTACTAGGCACGATACAAAGATCTAGACCCCTAACCTGCAATGTCATTTTCCTTGTTTCTTACTCAGAATTCAATTGGAGGTGTCTCACACTTCACTTGACAAGAGATCACGTTAATGAACCATTTGTGTATGTATATCTAGTCAAATTCTTTTCCTTGCTTACTAGCACTCATATCAAGGACATCCGTAGCTTTCTTATCATGCTAGGCTCGTTGTAATTTAATCCTTTTTGCTTTCTCAGAGGCAAACACGGATTCTCTAGTGTACTTTTACATCACAAACAAGTCATAAACCTTAATAGCTCTATATGACGGTTGGTTTGCATATTTCTCTTTGGTTATTTCAGTGCTTTAGCGGAAACCAGAAATGTAGTAGCTAAACTTCTTCACTAGGGTTGAAACGATCAACCAATTGTTAGTTTCTGTTGATACAATCAACACTAATGTAGGCACTCTGGAATCATCAGGAGGCAGAAATAAAAAGTTATTTGTCGAGCACATCTTGTCATACATCTACCAATCATAGCATTGGTTCACTCGAGAAGAAGGAGAAAAGCAGGAAGAAGTTAGCCACTATAGAAACACGAGATTACTGTGCGGGAAAAATTAGGGAAATTGATGTCTATACATTTATGTTGTTCAAATTTCTTAGTTCCTTGTCCAACATGTTATTTTCTATTGCCTACCTTCACCTTATGCCCTACAAGCCGCTAGCCTGTCAGATAAAATTTCCTGACCTGGTTATCTTTTCTTCTCTAAAGGGTCTTTTTATCCTCTCCTTAAATACCGAGTCAAGTAAGCACGTGTGAGGACGTTTAAACTTCCCCCTTCTGCATGGACCGTGTTCTCCTTGTATAGTCGGTGGTGACTGAAATGTGACCATTTGTTATTTTCTTTGTTTACTTGTCAAAGAAGGTATCTCATATATTATGGCATAAGTAAACATAGTGTTGTTTTTTCTTTTTTTGCCATGAATACTTTTCTTCATTTCTTCTATAGATCTCTCACCTGGATTATTTGTATTACAACTGTTAATGATAATTTTCAAGACTGCAAAGGGAAATCGTGTTACATTTGTTGTCGGTGCATGTGAAACACAGAATGTAAATGTTTTCGTCCTGCCATACTTTGGGTTGGCTGAAGGGAGCTATGTCACTGCAAAAGATATGTGGGCTCAGATGGTGAAGGTAGCAATTAATATAAATTATTTTCATTCCTCTATTTCTAGAGACGTTTACTGCAATTGTAATGTGAAAATAATATAACACAGTAAGAAGTAAGATATTTGTTTCTGTGACGTTACTATTTCAGGAATGAAATACCAGGATAGTATTTGTTAATTTGTAATAGTTTTCTTCTGATGCTAGTTATTGATTTTTGTCAGATTCCTGTTTGACTAATCCATCTTTTTTTATGCTCGTCTGAAGGAAGGGCAATTTAATAGAGAGAATTTCAATTGTGGACTGAGCATGCCTTCATAAGTTGGAGAGACGTTGTGTGTTGCAGTTTCAGCTTCCACATGGGTCGAACCTCATGGGAAATGCACAATAGCATTTTCTGTCTCTTGGTCATCTCGAAAAGTAAAATTTAAGAAGGGAAGCTCCTACAATAGGTAACCAATTTTGTTCAGTGCCAATGTCCACTGTTAACATCTGATTTTTTTCCAATTGAACTTGTAATTTAGGTTCAGGTTTAGGTTTCTATGCTTATAGAATATTTCTGATGTCGATTGTTTGTAATTTGTGTACATCATTCATTCATTCTCATTGCAGGATATATACCAAGTTCTACGGTACTTCTGAAAGAGCGGCACAGAAATTGGTTCATGATTCATTAACAAGTATGTATAGTCATATAATGGCTTATCTGTTTGAACATATGTATAGTCTGGATATGGTCCTATGGTTAGAAAATCCTCCTGGTTCTGCTTTTGCATCTAAGGATGCCAGGCTACAAAAATTGGGAAGAGGAGATTGAGAAGTGGCAAAATCCTATCCTTAAGGATGAAAGACTACCAGAATGGTAATTAATAATTACACATCTTATTTGTTTTTAATGCTTGCAAATGCCCAACCCTTAGATGGATAAGTTGTATGATGCCAAATTTATACAATGATATCTCTAGGTGCAGCTTTACTGCAATTCATCCCTTCAATGATTTAGAAATTTAAATGGGTGGATTGTGAATGTTGAAATGGGTGGATTGTGAGCCATGATAGATCCTGGAAAACGTTGTTTGAATGGTTAATAATATTGAAGTGATTGTGAGCCATGATAGAGATATTTGAGAAAATAGAATTTGGACCTTTGAGATTTATCATCTGGGCTCAATTTTCTGTCATCTAGACGGAAGATTTGCCCAATTCCTGCAGCACCATGAATTTAAAGCCAATTCAATTAGTGAGTTCACATATCCAAACGACCCCTCTAGGCTCCATGTGAATTGCTAAAACAAACATCAAAGAACCAAATAGGTTGCCGCCATGATCTGTCATGTCTAGTAACCTCACTATTGCAGGCTTCAATAAGCTTTGATAGATTGATTGTTTTCTCATGTGCTTTTGTGCATGTACGTTTTTTGCTAGTTTTATCTTACTAAGCAATTTCTCTTACAGGTATAAATTCACTTTGTTTAATGAGCTCTAGTCTTTGGTGGCTGTTGGGACAGTTTGGATCGGTATGAACTCCTTATGGTTATATTTTTCTCCCAACTTGACACAAATTTTTGGCTGACATTTAGGCTTCTGCTCTTATTCGGCTCATAATATAAGCAGTATAAGTAATCTACAAATTTGTAATTTAGTTCTCCCTTAGCACATCCTATGTGTAAAAAAAATTCCTTGTGAACATAAGTGTCCAATAGCATGACAAGTTGAGAAGTACGGCTGGCTTGCCTTTTCTTTTCATACTCAACCCTACCAGAAAGAATGACAAATGGGTCGTCGTCAAAAGCTAACTGATGAAGAATGCCCAAATGCTAGTGTGATCGAAGCTCAAGTTGGGGCGGATGGAGAGAATACTAAGCATACTACAGTTGATAGCTTTGGTGCTCATAGTAGCGTTAATATCTCAGATGAAAGTGATGAATTATCTCATGAAGAAAATGCATCCCAAGGATTTCAGGACAACAGGGAATCCAACCATTCGTTACAGCCTCTTGCAGTACCAGATCCGTTTATCGACAGTGATGACATATGCAGGTTTCTGTACTTAGAAGGAGTTGAATACATAATGTGGTGCACAAATTATGTGAATTTCTATGCATCATTTTCACTCTTGGAACTTTTCCCCAAGATTGAACTCAACATTCACGAGAGTTTGCTAAAGCTGTGTTATGCGAGGATGGGAGGAAGGTCAAGTTTCTGGAAGAGGGTAATGTTCGAATTCGTAAGGTCCGGGGTGCCATCCCACATAACCTTGGAACTCATGATCCATGGAATGAGGTGAATGCCTACAACATTCACGATACGAGCAAGTGGAAGGATCTCAACTCGAAGTTTGTGAAGCTCCCTGGGGCAAGGAAAGTGAGCAACCTCTTTCACCCTCGGGGGGGGGTTTCCTTTGATAGAGGATTGGGAAAGACATGACTTCTATATTACTTGGCAGGTTTCATCATTCTTCCACCTCGAGGGATCCTTCAGGTTTACCAGGACTTTGTTGCAACTAGGGACATGGCGTTTGGAGTTGATGTGTGGCCTGCAGTATGCACCGCCATGGAATTCTTTAAATGATAAAGAGTGGGTACGCTTTATTGCCAAAACTGCTCTTTACTGTTTCACTTTTTGTCGTTATACGCCCACCCCTATCAGCCACTTCCTCTTGCTTTGCCCTGTTAGCTGCCTCTGCTTCTTCTTCAACCCTTGCCCACATCGGTCGAGGAGAGCTTCTCCATTCCCTGTCCACTCCGCCATGCTTACCGTACACCAATGTCGTGCTTTTGCTTTTGGAGTGCTGCAGTGGGCTTTGCGTGCAGATTTGGGGTGAGGAGTGGGGCGAGATTTGGGGAATGGGAGTGGGAGGACAGTCACAGAACCGGAGGAGGCGAAATTCATGGGTAAAGGGACGACAGTGGAGAGAGAGATGGATCAACTCTCTGTTGGAACAACACGCTACTGCTTATGAGACACACACGCCATCGCCCATGATTTGTGCAATCCTCTCCTTGCTTCACTCAATTATTGGAAGAGATAGCTTCTCTACTTCACGCCAGACTATGCGACCCAAAATATCTTCCACACTCATCTCTTCTGGCGGCTGCGGTTACTGCTACAACCAATGGCGATGGGTACTCTCTTCTGCATTCATCTCTTCGCCGGCGGCGGTTACTGCTACCACCAACCAACGACGGTGGATACTTCGTTTGTATTCTACCCGTAGATTTGATGGGGAAATTAATGCCCTTGGTCAGTCTCCTTTGTTAGAATAGGATTTACTTTCAGGTGTTGTCGACGCCTTACGTGGTTTAAGCGGATTGATTGTTTGTGTTGTTCTTTTGTATATTTCTCTTTCCCTTTTCTAGTGATTCCCTTCAGAATGGATACATGTCATCTCAAATCGATGCTTGGTACTCGATGTGCTAAGGTCACTTGGAGAGGAAGGGTAGGGAAACAGGGCTCAGGATGTTGCTGATAAGACGACTGCGGGAGAAGAGGCCCAGGACGAGATATGCAAGAGTCGATCATTCTGGGCAAGAGAAGAATCCATTCGTCGATTTTGGTTGAAGATTTGAATGGAGCTGGTGCACGCGTGTGATCTATAATTTTTATGAGGTTTGGATCTATAATTTTCTTCTTTCTTATTTGGGTTGTTTAATTTACTAGCTCCTAGTGAAACTCTTTCCCACTGGAAGATTGGAAGAAGATGATGAAGCATCTGGGGAAGTCTTCATTAGGTAAGCTCCTTGATGTTTATTCCATTTAGACCTATATACATCCATTGGGACATCATCAGAATACTTTTGCCTTCTCTTTCTCTTTAGGTGCCAATTGAGGGTCATATCTCTCTCTATATTAATTTGTCTTTCAAATGTTCTTGCTGAACTCCTCAAAAGCTCCAGTTTCCATACTTTTTTGTCGTTTCTCTGTCCATCAGTTGTGACTGTTTGCCAGGTTGGAGCTGCTGCCGCTGATGTCGTGATGATTTCATCTGGGAGAAGTCCACTATTAGCGAGAATGTTCACATAGACAGAGAGAGAGGATGCATCCTGTAATAGCCAATGCAAATTGCTAAGTGAGCTTTCTTCATGGAATCAATAACTCTCAGGTACTGCGATTTGATTTCATATCTCATGCAATTTGATCTCATATCTCATGTGCATCAACCAAAAAAATAGATTTTTAGTGTTTCCAGATTAACAAAACTCTAATCCATGTTCGTTGGCCTGCTGTTAAGCTTCAGCAACTGTGTATTGTTAGTCACTAAAACTTCTGTCTTATCTAATGGTTCTGTTAGGATGCTACAAAGTCCTGTTTCTTGATAAGACGAAAACAACAAATATCTAATTCACATCTGTCCATTGCTATGGAACAACAGCAAGTTGAATCCTAAACGGGGTGCTGCATATATTTAGTTAGTAAGACCATTCCTTTGTTGGCTCAAATGAGGGTCTTCTGCAACCTTCCCTTTCATGTATACACACAATCATTGGCCACACTATTTCATAAAAATTCGGAAGCTTTCCTTTTGGTTTCTGTTTAAATGAACACAAAATGCAGCCTATTTTATGGTTCGCAATATATATTCAGGTTTTAAGTGTCTGTTATAAACAGTACCAGCGCCATTGCAACACCTTCAAAGCTTGACCTGATGAGTACTCCAAATAATTTAGTGGAACTGATTGAAGACAACCTTTCTCAGATACATTACTTGATATCAAATGCGATTATGAATCCCAATAGACTTTTCTTCTAAGAGTCATGTTTTCTAATGGTGCTGTTATAGCTCTTTGCACTTTATTAACTAAAATTATAGATTCCATGCACTGTTCTCATTGACCTTCACACTAAGGATTATGGCCCTTGCTATCCATATTTAATGGTATGCAGATAGTTTAGTTCAGTTTTTTCCTTCAGGTGTTACTTTGTTTTCTTCACTCTATTAACCTTCACACTAGGGATTATTGTGATTGTTAATTAACTTTTATTGGTTAAGGTAAGTACCTCAGGTTGTCAAGATTAAGTACAACCTGTGTATTATATTGCCTTAATAATTTAGGTACAATTTTTTTTCCTTCTGCGGATTGTTCTTACTTGGGTTATGAGAAGGAGTTCTAGAGTCAAGTTCCATGACAAGATACCTTGATTCCCCTCACCTATTAGTTGAATTTCATTGGAAGTGATTTCTTTGTGTATTTCATTATTATACTTTCAAATAAGTTGCTTCAGATTGATCAAGCTTAGTATTGTATTTGTTTGTCCTCTCTTTAGCTGTATACCCTTCTGGATAGTGGTACTGAACTTATACATATTGATCCTCCTTCTGTATAGATCAGTAAAGCTCCAGCAATGCCAGGATGGAGCAGTCATCAGAAGCAGAAAAGGCACAAGCTAAATGAAATGATAAGTGTGTTAGATGGTTCCAAAGACCTCAAACAGTGTCAATCTCTAATCGGTACTTGTTAGGTAACTCTACTTTCGATCAAATGCACAATTGTCTAATTTCGACTGTCAATGTTTACTTACCTTTCCTTGCTATCTGCTCTGAACATTTTTCTTTGTCATTGTTTGTACTTGAGATAGAACCCACAGATTATCAACCAATGCCTCATATTTAGTTACAAGATCACTCACTTGGTAAGCTCTTACATTTCATAGAAGTCTAGCAGCAACCCTGTTGTTGGAGCTCCCCCTAACACCTTTCAACCTTCTTCGCTTTGAGTGTTGGCAGTTATATGGAAGGGCATTTGATCGGCAGTTAAATGAAAGGCGTTGTGGTGGTAAGGTGACTTAAGATGGATCTCAGTAGCCTTTCTTTCCGCTAGGCTCTGCTCATAATCACGGAACTTTGTAATAGGGAACATTGACATGTTCGTTTGTTCTACAACTGTGCTTCCTGAAATAATTTATTCAGATTTGCTTAACCCAAAAGATGTTTCCTTTCACTGCATAGCAGCTGAAACTGATGCCGAAACAAATTTTGTTATGTAACTTTTTAGATCTCCCTTCAATTGGTGGAGAAAACGTTTAATTCTTTAAAGTCTGTTATTAACTTTCCCAGTAAATAAGCGGATGAACTATGATGGATCTCATTCCCAAATCCCAATGAGAATAGTCAAAATGGTGTGGTGGACTTTAAATTAATTCTTGGGTCTATTTTTACTATCCTTTCTCTTTTTTAACTCCAACCACTGAGATGAAAATGAGAGCGTCAGCGAGAGTGAGAATTGGGAGCTGCAGCTGGGGGGTTCCTTATGATTTCTTGCAGGGAGCTTAACATTGCATTGCTAATGTATTTTCCAGATTAGTCTTTATTGATCTCATTCTAGAATCTGTTTTTTTTTTTTCAAATGGCAACTACATCTTGGTTCCTTTCTCTCTACTTGCGTTCTGTACAGTATTTCTAACTGTTTTCGTTATGACTATACTATTTTTAAATGTACTAAACATGACTAAATGCCCTGCGGCATAGTCGCGGGTATCGATACTAGT